CACATATCTGGGAAATGACAGAGTTTGGATCATTCCTGGGCAGGATGGTTCTGAAGTTTTCACTCTTAACCATCGCTTAAGCTGTTTTTCTTGTGACCAATAGTGTAACTAGCTCTGCCTGGTATGATTTGATGACGTTTTTGAAATGAAAATAGTATTTTTAAAAAGTGCGTGTGTGTGCATGTGTATGTGTGTGTGGTGGTGGGGAGTGAGTTTTACCATATGAGAACTCAAGCAGCGAGGATTCCATGTTCAACGAGACACAGAGGTGTAAAGTAGCATGAGATGTTCTAAGAATCGCAGTCCAGTTCAGTTGCAGTAACCAAATTATGAAGTTCTCTTCGTACTATCTGAGGGAGTTTGCATGGTTTTCTGTAATTAGTAGAGGCCATTTTATACTTTAAACCAGGGAGGTAGGTGATTTCTGTAATTATATTTGCTTAAAAGTCATTCAAAATGAATGTGAAAATTGTTAGTGGAAGGAGGTATATTAAAGGTAGTAAAAAGCTCAGTACAGGTAGGAAATGGTGATTGAATAAATTTAACCAGTGGCAAGGAGAAAGAGCTGGGTTGAAGATATACATCAGATATAGATTGCACAAATCTTAATGACCAGTCTGATTGTGAAGAATGTAAGATAAGAGAGAGTCTAGAGGAGTGGAGATCGTAGCCTAAATGGCTTTAGAGACAATTTAAAACAAAGGAAAACAAAATTTGATATGTGTGTTTGGTTTGAATTTGTGTAGTTTGTATTACGAAGTATTAACGAGGATAATGACCTTGGTTTAGAACAAAGACATCTAGTAGCAATACCTAATAATCTAGAAACACAGGTCATCCATTTCTGAAGCTAGTTACACACTTGAAGTATAGACTTGGGAGTCCTAATTTCCTGAAAGCAAGAGAGGTAGATGAGAACAACTAGAGAGAAGAAAGAAATTGAGAAAAGATCAAACCCTGAGAAAGATTAGTAACAGTGGGTAGGAATATTTGGTGGACAGGAAGTATTGAAGAGAGGGAATGGTGCTACCATTAGCAGGAAGACAAGAAAATAAAGTGAGGAGAGATAATATACCCAATTTCAATGGACTAATAGTTTAAGGATACAATGTTACCTTGTTAATATAAGGTATAGATAAAGACATTTTATATTTCAGGTGATTTATGGTTGACAGATGTACCTACAGTGACCTCAATATGGTCCAGGGGTGGCAACCTGAAATATGAGGTGAAGACGTTGAGGAAAAAAGAAATTTTCACTGTGTTCTAGGTTGACCTCACTGCCTTGAACATTGCACTGCCCAAAGTTCACCTTTGATTTCTCAGATTAGGAGTTGAAACCTCGATTTATTTTCCCTGTAGATTTGTAATCATTGAGGGTATTTGGGAAATTATGCCTTTGGAGAATTTTAGATTGTGTATCGGAGAATGACTGACTAAAGTCAAGCATAAGAAGTTATCATTCCCTAACTTCAATTCTACGTTTACCACTGACTTGGATCTTTTTGTCTTAATGAGTCTTAGTTTGTCTTAGTGAGATTTAGTGAGTCTTAGTGAGACATTAATCAGGCATGTTTGAAATTAAGCATATCATCTATATTAGTCTGTTTTCATACTGCTATAAAGAACTGCCTGCGACTGGGTAATTTATAAAGAAAAGAGGTTTAATTGACTCACAATTCACCACAGCTGGAAGGTGAGGGGGAACCAAGACACCTTCACAAGGCAGCAGGAAGGAGTGAATGCCAAGCCAAGGGCGATGAGCCCCTTATAAATCCATCAGATCTCGTGAGAACTCACTGTCATGAGAACAGCATGGGGAAAACAATCACCCCCATGATTCAATTACCTCCATCTGCTCTCTCTCTGGACACATGGGGATTATGAGGATTACAATTCAAGATGAGATTTCGGTTGGGACACCAAGCCTAGCCATATCATCATCTTTCTTCACTTTATTTCCTTGTCTTTCTGCTGATGGTACACCAGTCCTTCTAGGATTCTATCTTCAGGGTCCCTTTTGTTTCTCTCTTTTGCCATCAGATATAACATCTAGTTAGTCATTAAATGTTGTCAGAGCTCAGCTAAGGGCATCACTTGTTTAGAGAAGTTTTAACCACTCAAGCAAGACTAGACCCTTTATAACACCCTGCATTTCACCAATGGGTGCTAAGTCCTAAAATACTTTTAATGTTGATTTCCTTTAACAACGTAGAAGAGTAAAGACTTGGTGTGTCTTATTCACTAGTATGTCCCCATCCCTTGATGGAGAACCTTGAACACAGATTGTTTGATGGCCACTTGCTTAATGCACGACTGAAAAGTTTCTTAAGGTTGTCTCTCCTTTTGGTTTTTTTCTTCCATTCACACACTGGCCACTGCAGAACAAACCCTCACACTTTTATAACTGGACTATTTAAATATCCCTTTAAAGATGCCTCCTACTAAGAGGATCTTCCTGCTCCAATATATTCTTCATTATTTATATCATACTACTCTGTTGCTAAAAAAACCAATAATTACTCCCCAGCCTTATGAAGTAAAAACCAAGTATTTAAAATTCTAAATCTGGCACCAAGAAAACTTTTAAATTTACTACACTCCTTCACAAGAAACTTCCACCCTAGTAAAACTTGTTGTTAATCCCTACAAACCTCACTTCCATTCATACCTGTCCACTTTCTCAGTAAGCATTTTCCCTATGTCTAGCCTTGATAAACTAAGTCATTCTGCATAATCTATGCCAAATCTCATCATTTCCATATAGATACAGCCTTCCCTTTGTCCTGCCATGACAAAGGCAGCAGGCTCTATTTAGTGTTACAGATTCCCTGCTCCACCTCTGACTACATGGCCTCATTTTCTTATCTGTAAATGGGATATTAACACTCACCCAAAAGGGATTTATTAAGTAAATGAAATAATCCATATAAGGTATTTTGATATGACTTTCTGATTTTGCTTCAGAATCATCCAGCTGTAAAATACATTTTGGGGAAACTAAGCAAAGTTGAAAAATAAGCTGGATAATAGATGAGATTTTGAAATTAGAACCGATTTCATTTTGTGTGATAATGATATTGTCATCATGTTACTAATGTCTTTATTTTTGAAGATGTAAGAAGTTAGAAATGTTACAATGTTTAAATTTCACTTTGACATGGTCCAGCAAAAAGTATCTATAGTTCTAATTAAAAATACTTAACACAATTGTAATTTAATAAATGACTATATGGTTATGTATAAAAGTTAAAGGTTATTTTATTTCTATCTTTAACAATATAAGCTTTATAAATGCAGAAATAAGTTATGTCTTGGTCACTGCTGCATCTCCAATCCTTGACATAGAGCCTTGGGCAACTAGGTACACTTTACATGTAGATACATAGATACATACCATAGATAGGTAGATAGATAGATATATAATACACACTATAGTTAGGTAGATGCATATATATAACACACACATGCATACATATGTATGCATGTAAAATATTATAAAATACTTATTAAATCTAATTAGTGGACATACAGGTATTCTTTGAACTATTGTTTCTGTTTTCCTTTGTGTAAATTTCCAATATAAATTTGTAATTGTAATCACATGTATTCATTTGAATCCATGTACCATTAAATTATAAATATAAGGTACTTTGCACAGAATATGTGTTCAATAAATGTCATTCCTTTTCATTATAACATCTATTTTCATTCACTACCACTTAATATGTAATACCTTATTTTTTACTTTTTGAGTTGTTTATCTCCAGATATACAATATGATTCTAACAGACTTTCTTCTCCATGTCTTTACTTCTTTCTGCATGTTAAGTTTATAGCACCTTGTTGGAAATAAGTAAATGCCTATTGGACATATGAAAAGATGTCCTTAATTTTCAAATCTAGAGGGAAATTTTAATCAACTCAAGGACAAAGGATTATACTCCTACCCTGGTCTGCCATTAATGTTTACTTTTTCATGGAGAAGTAGACTGTGAGCCTCTTGAAGGAAAGGGCCTCATATCATACAACGTTTTCTTAAATCTATAGAAGATAGCATTGTGCTTGGGTTAATTACTGGATGTTTGTTGAATTACTGAATATATGACTGCCTGAATGAATGATACCAGAATAAGAGGTAATTATTTAAATACTTTCAATATCCTACAGATTTTTCTTAGAGTCAAGTGACCAAATAGAAAAAATAGAACATGAAGTTTAATTCATTCTACCCCCTATGTTGATCTTCAGTGAGACCTTTTTCATGATTGATTCATTAATGAGACTGAAAGATAACTGAAAGCCATGGAAAATTCCCAACATAAAAGACGGTAAAAAGAAATAAGCAGCCAACCAAAGAATTATTATTGTCAATTGCAAACAGCCTAAGCAAAGCGATTAGGAAGAAGAAAGTTTCAATGAAAGATATTTAGAAGTTATAGAATTTTAGAGATGAAACACCATGCGGTTTCACACTTATTTTTCAGAGGAGGAAATTTAAGCTATATGACTTGTTCTAAGTAAGTGGATATGAATTTCCAGATGCCTATTAAAATGAAGACGTAATCACCTGAGTTACTAACTTGACTTTCCTCCATTACCATTCCTCTGATCATCAGAAAGAAAGAATAAGTTGACCTGGGTACACACCAAAAAGTGTTTGAAAGCTTATCTCTAGTTATAGTATTCTCTCAGCCTAGCTTTACCTGTTCTCTGAAGAGAGAGAGAGAGAGAGAGAGAGAGAGAGAGAGAGAGAGAGAGAGAGAGAGAGAGAGAGAGAGAGAGAGAGAGGAAACAGAGTTTAATATGGGCAGAGGCACTGTGAGAATGTGAGATTAGAATAACTTGAAGAAAAAAATTACAATGAAAAATGCTTGGTTTAAAGTTTGCATTTAAGGATGTAAAACAAAAGCAAAACAACTTTGAATATTTCTCTTTGGTATTGATTCAGAGCTCAAAGATTATTCACAATCAAAATAGAGAAAATATGATCTACTTACCCATTCTGTATGGCAGCTGTGGGATCATAGGTCAAAGCCATGCCAGCCTGTATAAAGGATGAAGAGGAAAGAAAACAGATCTTAACATTTTTATTGTGGTGCCCAAAATACTTAGTACACACACAGACTCTTATCATTCCTTTCCATGATTTAAGTTTATTTTCTCCTGTATATATATCTCTACTCTTACTGCCAAGACTAGTGGTTTTACTATCCACAAACCAGAATATACCAGTGAGTTGGGAGTTTATATTATATATCCAGACCTACTAAGAAACAAGGCAGCTTGGATGATTTCCATTTTTACTTCTTAAAACATCCACTGTCTAACCTCACATTCTTATCATTTCACACTATTGTCAGGAACACCTATTGTACACCTTATGGCATGATAAAACTTAAGAGTGAATCCTGCAGTTACAATAAAAATAAAAGCCACTTAAAATGCATTTAATCTTGAAGGAGAAAATGTTTAAAAAGTATTTATTTAAAAATAGATCATGTGCTTAAGGGGTTTGTAGGTAGTGATTCCAGAGTGCTTGTCTGATATATTGCTATTTCTTATCTTAATAAGATAGAAAGGATAGGTCATTTACATATGATGGAAATTCTAGACCACATGGTTAATAAGGAGGTAGTTTTGTTCTGTTTTTAGGAATAAGACCACCTCCGAAAAAGCACACTTCTATAACTGGACGTAGCTTCTAAAAAGAATATAAATTTCATGAGTGCTGATTCAGTCTACCTTGTTCCTTCATGTACATCCTCACATTTGATCCTCACAGCAATCCTATGAAGTAGGCAGGAGGAGTCTTTTCTCCATTTTATAGATGAAGACACTGAAGCTTGGAAAGGTCAAGTGACTTGCTCAAAGTCACACATTTGGAGGCAGAACCAGATTTCAACCCAAGTCTTCCGATATGGGCTCCTTTCCATTCATCGGCTATGACACTGGCCCAATTAAAATAGACCTGAGTATCATAGCCAACAACAGGGGACACTTTCTCAGTGGCCATAAGGGCATACCATCCTTTGTTTACCAGGTGTGTCAGCATGGTTGATACTTACAAAGCTTACAATGTTGGATGGAATTTAAAACTGCCCAGGTTATCTTTGGGGTGGATTATTTTTTTTCTTTTTTCAAATTTAAAACTGAATTAGACCAACATCGATGTCCTGGCTTTGATTGTGTACTATAACTACTTAAAGTAAAACAACTGGGAGAAACTGAATAAAAGATAAACAGGACCTCACTGTACATTTATTTTGTAACTTCCTGTGAGTCTACAAATTCTTCAAAATAAAAAGTTAGAAAAAAAAGTGGAAGAGCTATGAAGACTTTTGTAGAGGATAAGAAACCATAGACATTTTAAAGAAAGCAAAATACCTTTCCTGTTTGAGTTTAATTTTCCATTGTGGTTGAGGATGGTTTTCTTGTTGGGCTCATTGAATTCCTTAAATTTAGCTTATAATTGACATGAAAATTCTCAAGCTTCTAACATGGGGCCTGATATACAGTACAGCCTGCTGCTTTCAAGCTTAGATTACAGGCATTATTTCCATAAATAACAAATTTTAAATTATTATGAAGATTGGTATGAGGAACAATAGTGTAGAGCCATATATGAATGGAACTGGCATAAAGGGAGCACACATAAATTGAAATGGAATTTGCAAACAGAATTGAAATGACGGAAGTTAACAGAGGTGCACTGAGAACACACGTTTAATGATAACTGCACGACCTCTTTAAATTTAAGGATCTCATTCACGTTAAAGAAACATGCAACTGGTAATATGACAAAGCTAGGGGACTGAGAAATGAGAAGAGAATATAACAGCAGAAATGGAAAAAAAGGTTGTAGTTTTTTACCATGGGAGAGGCAAAAAGATAGTGGTGTCAAAATGAACAGAGATTCTAAGTTTAAATTCTTCCCAGGGATGAAGCCTCTGCCACATGACTAGCTAGAAGTTGGCTGTAGACGGAGCACAGAATGGAGCTGTCCAGGGCTTAGTTGAGACTTCCTGGTCTCAGGTACTGGGAAGGGCATTGTAAAACGTGGTCCATTTGGAATTAGATTTCCCTCTTAGGAACACTAAGCTTCTCTCTCCTAATTTATCCAAGATGAGGCACTACAGGCAGAATAAAACAGGCGGGCTTTACATTTAATGGAGATATTATTAGTGCATGAGAGCTTTAGGATAATAGTTACATCTTCAGTCTACTAATTATCTCAAATTGTATAAGTCCTGGGGACTTACAGGAAGCCTTCCCTAGTCAACCCCACATTTACTTGTTTTTCCTTGTACTTATTTTCCTGCAGCACTCAGAGAGACCAATGCTATCTAGTCTCTCTTGAACTATAAAATGTCTTGAACATTCTCTTTTTATCATGCTTGTTTGTTCTGGTCACTTAAGATAAAAATATTTTCTTACATTTTACTTGAATTTCTCATGGATTCTAGCTAACCAATCAATTCTAGCTAAGAATAGAGTAATTGTCAATACAATCTCTTTGTTCTACACACATTTGTTAAGCAAAAAATCTAAGTTGACCTCTTTCTTCATCTTAAACCCCCATCCTGTCATTCTGAAGATGAAAAGGAATTGACATCAGGAGGATACAGTGGAAATCATATGTTTTGATATCAGACAGACCTGAGTTCAAGTTCTAGCTGTTACTTCGTAGCAGTGTGACTTTGGGCAAATTATTTAACCTATTTGAGCCTCAGTTTCTTCAACTGCTAAATGGTTTAATAATACCTACCTCATGAGATTGTTGTGAAATTTAAAAGAGATTACGTTTGTAAAGCGCCCAGCACAGTGCCTGGAGACAAGACACATACATAAATATTATAATACAAAGCAATATGTGTAAAGTGCCATATGAGTGGATGGATAGGGTGCAGATGAGAGAGGCTGGGGGTGATCAGATAAGGCATATAGGGAGGTACATCTGAGCAGAGCTCTGAAGGATGAGTAGGATTTCCACAGATGGAGACGAGAGGTCAAGGTCAGCTCAGGCAAAAGGAATAGCATGGAAAAAAAAGTGTGTAAATAAAAATGGAGAGGCGAGTGAGCTATTTTCAGTAGAACGGGTGGAAGGGAGAATGGGAAATAAGACTCAAAAGATAAGGAAGGAGGATCTTGATTGCCCAGCTCCTCTTGGGGAGCTACTGAGTATTTTTGAGCAGGGACATTATACACTCAAAGAGTAATCAGGCAACAGGAGTTAGCATGAGCTCCCTGGAAAACAGAGGTAAATCCAGGAGAATGAGTAACTAGAGTAGTACCTTGGGAGAGGGAGGTGGAGAGAATCTAAGGTGAGGTTGTCATTGTAAAAGGGTAGGGAATGAATACAAGATTCACCTACTTCACGATTTTGCCTAGGGACAGTTCTGCCTCTGAGTACCTTTGGCAAGAGGAGACAACAAGAGATAGTGTCAGGTCATAGGCTTTGGAACACTGTGGGTAACAACACGGCATGGGTTAAACAAAGGGTTGTTTGAACTTAACCCAATGGCTGAATATAATAGCACAATAACTAACACTTGGATCCACCTGGTTTCCACTTCATGTGTAACAGATTTTTGAGTCATATTTCTATTATGGTCTTAATAGAAATTTTGCATTCAATTTCCTTTGTCTCTTTCCACAAAGGAAAAGAGGAAATCAATTTTTCTGATCTGTCGAGCTGCCTTTATACTAAGCTAGAACCATGAAATCATCATTACATAATCACCAAATATTATGGCATGTTTACAAACTCAAGAGTCACACAAAAAGTAAAATACCTTGGAACAAAATGAATATGTCACACTACATATGTAGAAAAGTGATGTTTAATCATGTTGCTTACTTTCAAAAAGGAGTTATTAGATTCAGAAATATTTTCCGTTTTTCAGGTTCCCATTATTTGTATATTGGAGACATTTGTATTTTATTTAAAATAAAATGGGGCATTTTTGTTATTTTTCAATAACAGTTGAGTTTTGATTTGGTATTTCAGGTACATAGGACATTTCTAGGTCTTCGAGACAGATTTTTACTATAAGAGCTAAATATTTTAGAAGAAAATATTTTAAATGGTATATTGGAATAATTGGGATTTTTAACAAATGCATCTTTATTTTTAATAAATTCATTGACACAAATCAGTTGACTTAGGAGATAGATATTTGACATTCATGACTATAAATGATTAGGTTTTTTTCAAGACATAATAATTACGGAAATAATTCTTAAAGGGTAGACATTAGGGACTAGGCACTGCTACTTTAGAAAGATTCCGTAGACTGCTTGGTCTTACCTGAGGAGCGGAGAATCATTGGCTATAACAAAGCCAATATGAAGATGGGCTGACTGAAATTTTTTTTTTTTTTACTATTTTTGAAAGTATTTTTAGACTATACGATAAATGGGGGTCAAAAACTTGGGAGCAAAATTTATAGAAACTGATACAGACCGCCGGGCACGGTGGCGTATGCCTGTAATCCCAGCACTTTGGGAAGTCAAGGTGGGCGGATCATGAGGTCAGGAGTTCGAGAACAGCCTGTCCAACATAGTGAAACCCTGTCTCTGTTAAAAATGCAAAAGTTAGCCAGGCACGGTGGCACGTGGCTGTAGTCCCAGCTACTTCAGAGGCTGAGGCAGGAGAATCACTTAAACCCAGGAGGCAGCGGTTGTGGTGAGCTGAGATTGCACCACTGCCACTCCAGCCTGGTGACAGAGCGAGACTCCATCTAAAAAAAGAAAAAGAAAAAAATAGATATTGTTACAGACTGAAATTCATGGACATATGAAACATTGATATTTTAGCCTAATGTTTCTCCTTTTCTAAGGTCTGCTCTGATACATAATTGGGTAAATTACAAACAAAGAATTATAAAGATTTCTAGTCTTCTACAATCAGAATTAAAACAACACTTTAATAAATGTGTAGAAAATGTTGAATATTGTATTAAATATTGTATACTGAATTAGCACAAGTTGAGTTCAAGAAGCTAATAAAGATAAATACAATACCGTTTTCTGGATGTTATATTT